TGAGCTCGGAGTTATGGAAGCGCTTGAGAAACGGGAGAAAGCAACATTTCTGAAATTTGCAATGCCTTCATTTGATCTAGGCATTGAGTTTAACATGACTCAGGGTGCAAGCACTTCAAAAGTGGACCAAAATGTTATGATGATTGAAACTGCTGCTGATGTGGAAGATGTGATGACTGAAAATGTTGCTGATGTAGAACATGTGATGACTGAAACTGCTCCTGATGTAGAAAATGTGGTAATTGAAACTGTTGCTGATGTAGTGAACCAAAGTGCTGCTACTGGAGAAGAGAATGAAGAGGTTGGGGTAGCTGGAGAGGACAAAACTGCTGCACGTGGAGAATTAAACAAAGTAGTTGAAAATAAACAAGAGTAAATGTTAATTGTTTATTATGTAATTCATTAATGTGTTTAATTAACTTAATGAAGTTAAAATTTTGTTGATTTTTCCAAAGGAATGCTGAGCTAAAGCCATGCACAAGAAAGAGGAAGCTTAGAAAGTTAGGTGATGCAGGTGTGAATTACAGGTCACCATTTCTCAAGAACAACAGAAGGCTGTGCAAGGAAATGAGCAGGGATGAAAAGATTATTCTTGACTATGGCATGTCAAAAGAAGTTGAAAAGTAAGAAAGTCTGATATTATATAATGTATTATTTCAATAGAAACATTATTTCATAATTAACTGTTTCAATTTGTTTGAAAAATATTATTGTGTTAGTAACTGTGTCTATCAAGATGAGGGAGGTATTTTTATCGCTCATGAGGAGTTTCAGACCCTTCAAGAAGAAAATATAGACAACTCCATCATTGATGCATTTGCAAAGATTCTGAATGACAAAGAAAAATCAAATAAGACTACAAAGCGCGCCTTCATAGCGACAACCCAAGTATACGTGTATAGTTTTTTCTTGTAAATTTGTAAAATAATGCAGAGAACTTCAGTTGCTATATTTTGATTGGATTGACTCAATTTCAATGTGCAGGCAATGTTCGATTTTGCATCTGGTGAACCAAACAAAAATGTGGTTGACAGATTGGAAAAAGAACTCAATGAAGCAGGAGCAGATATCACAACATTTGATATGGTAAAATGTCATTAATATTTGAATTTACACAATTCAAGTGTTTATGGTTTAAATATATGATTATATAAATAATAATAAAACAAGTCACATTTGGTAATCCTTATATGTATATTGTTAAATGTAAATCAATGTGAAAGATATATCGTTTTAACAATATTGCTAAAACAAAGTGTGTAGCATAATATTTAACTGCAACTGTTGAGTGATGTAAGTTCTGATATGAATTATGTAAACTATGTATTGTTTTATGTAAGTCAGTGTGTAAGATATATTGTTTTAATAATATAGTTAAAACAAGTGGTGTAAAATAATAAGTAACTGAGTTTACATAATATAGTTAAATAATGTACATTCTGAATAATATCATATATATTGTTTTAATAATATAGTTAAAACAAGTTGAAGGATGTAAGTCCTTATATGATTTATGTACATTCTGTATTGTTTTATGTAACTGATGTCAGTGTGAAAGATGAAATGCTTATGACTCGTGTATATTGCAGATAATGTTTCCAATACACAAATCTGGGCACTATTATATCTACTGCTTTTACACAAAAAGCAACATTGTTGATGTGATTGACAACCGCGTGCTTCTAGACGGGGTGATCTTTGAGGACAAATATGGCGAAACTTTTAAGAAAATGGTAAAAATTCAATACAACTTTTGTGGAAATAACAAATGTTATTATTCAATATTATTTTAGTCCATTAATGTAACTTCTTGTATAGGGTGATGGATTCAAAGTCTTTTGTGAGAAAGTGAAGATTTCAGATGGAAAGCCCAGAAATTGGATTCCCAGAATGTTATTTATGCCATGGAGACATGATGGCAATACTGTTGATTGTGGAATATTTGTTTTGCGCCACTTGGAGACATTTCGTGGCCAAGGATACACATGGGATTCTGGATTTGCACCTGCTGCTACAAATGACAGAATCAAAGCTCAAAATGAAACCCTCCAGAAGATGAGATTGATGTATGGAGCTCAAGTATTACCGTCCAAATTTAATAGTGAAAGGGAAAATGTTGTGAAAAAGGCAAAATAGTACCTTAAGATGTAATTGATTAATGTGGTGGGATTACTGTAAAAACATTTGCTGGTTTTATGGAGGGGTGATGGTATGGATAAACTTAAAACATTTGTTGGTTTTATGCAGTAGCTGGTGATGCAATGGACAACTTATTTGTTTGGTTTAAGATATTGATATGCACTAGTTTATAGTGCATAAATGTATGTTTTTGTATTAACTTTGTGTGGATTTTCTTTCCTCTTTAGTTAGTTTGTAAACATTTGTTTTATGTTGTTTGTAATGGTTTTTTTTGCTTTCATTTATAGTTGTAGAATAGTAGTAGTGTTTTTAGCAAGGAAAAGGAGAAAAGCTGAAGATAAAAATGGCCAGGAGCGCTAACCCGGTCGGGTCAGGCACTACACCCGGTCGGGTCTAAGTTGAGAACCAGATCCCTGAGAAAATAGCTAGACCCGGTCGGGTCCCCTACTTGACCCGGTCGGGTCGGATGTGACCCGGAACACCAGAACGTGCCAAGGATCGCCCGAATAAAGAATATCTGATTTTTGAGTTAAACCCGGTCGGGTCCCCTACTTGACCCGAGACATTTTAACGTGCTGAAACACAAAAACGTGGGAATTAATCTGATTTTGACCGGTACCCCGGTCGGGTAAGCACTAAACCCGGTCGGGTACCCGGCCAAAGGTGTTGAAAAACACCTATAAATAACACACTCTTTCTTCACAAAAAACAATCCCTTCTTCCATACTCTTAAGCTCAGTTTAGAATAGCATTTCTTTATATTTTTCTAGCTATGTTTAGTCTCCCAATGAGGAGCTAAACTTCCATTCTTGGTGTTGCTCTTGAAGCTTGTTGATTATTAAAGTTGTGAGTTATTTTCTTAACTTCTTTCCTTGAGTATCAATTAATAGTTCTTTCCTTAATACCATCTCTATATTAATGTTGGGGAGTGTTGCTAAGATGACAATTAGTTAACATCTCGACATTGGTTAGAATGGTATTTTCTTCCTCTATATTAGTGTTGGGGAGTGTTGCTAAGATGACAATTAGTTAACATCTTGATATTAATTATAGTAGGATTCATCTTCTTTAATAATATTCTTCCTTGAATATTAATTAATTCCTACTCATATTTCATATTAATATTTTGAACATTACTTAAAGGATCAACTAGTTTTGTTTCATATATTAATTATTACTAGAAACGATCAACGAACCGATGGTTAATCGTTGATGGTTTCACAAGTAAGTAACTTCGGTTTATTAATGCACGGTCGTGGTTAATAAACTTAAGAGGGATTAATTTTGTTGGTTAAACCGAAACCGTTGTGTTGAGGTTATCAATCTCAATTGATTTCATCAAGGAGTTAGAAAGATTAAATGCTACTATTAAATCGGTATAAGGCGTTGTTCTATATTTGATTAATAGTAAGGGTTATTAATGAACGGTTGTTGTTAATAACTACCCTCGATGATGTGGATATACTCCCCGATTGAGTATTCGAGAGGGAATAAGTTATAGATATAACAATGATCGACTAAAATATATCAACAAGTGGAGAGTAGCAATGCCAAGTCCTTTTTATCTTTGAATTAAACACATATAGGTTGTTCATCTTAGTTCTTAATTAAATTAAATCACTCAATCCAAATCCCCCCTTTTTATTTACTAAGTATCATAAAAAGAGAATTATTTCTTTCTCTGTGGATACGAACTCTACTACGCTATACTACGTATAAGTGTTTAGTATTGAAAATTATTTTGACGCACCGTGACAAAGTGCTCGTCAGATATTATGATGTAAAATGCAACTTACATGTCTGGTTTATGATAATTTGATGTAAACTCCTTTTATATGTTTTATGCAGACACACACAACTTATGTATGAATGAAATGTTATAGGCTAATATATTAACCTCATTCAAATCCATTAGATATACATGTAATATACATCTGATGTAAACAATGACTACATCAAATGTAATTCACATTACAGGACCATGTAACTGAAGGCAAAAAGAGTGTAACAACTGTTACACAATAGTGATTGTGTTTACAATTCTGTAACTCAGAGTAAACAATATTGATTGTGTATTGTTTTTATAGTAGTGCTCTTTGACATGTGTAAACGAACAGTAAAGACAATATAAATTCCATTAAATCAAATGTAACTTTGGTTGCTACAAATGTAATAACCCATAATAACATATGTAAACTCTTCAACTTTTACTATAAAAAATAAGAAATGCCAAACATGTGTATCTATAACTAATTCTGCATTTGGTTCACAACATTCGATTGCATGAAGTATGGAGTAAAAACTTGTGGAGATCCAAGCACATACATTAAGGACGTCGTTCCTCCAACTGGATGAGCAAGATAACCTCGTGGAACCATGAAATTAACCATGTCCTAGAATCAAACAAAACAAAAAGTAATGATCAGAAAAGATGCATTAAATATATAAAAAAATAAAAAATAAACAAATACCTGTACAACAGATTGAACAACTGCTTTTGAATTGCAGGCAACATTTTGGGATTTGGAACGGCGAGCTTTGACTATTTTGCACTGTTTTTCAACAGTACTTCTCTTTCGGGTATTTCGCTGACCTTTAGGACGAGAGCGTGGAGGATCCAATATCGTCTTTGAAGCAGATTCATCCACAACAAAAGCATTTCGTTGAATATCTAAAAAATGTTTAATAGACTCGTATCTTTGCTCACATACTCGCCTAACTTTAGGAAAACCATCACTTGCACCCAATATTGTGTTGAATTTCCTAGTCATTTGCACTGTCCAAACAGAATCTTCCAATATTTTCCCAAACATAATATCAGTTCCTTGCGTAAGAGAAAGATTAACATTTGGCAGAATGGCAGCCTTTGTCCATCTAGACAGTATATAAACTTGGGGAATACATTTGACACAATGGACATTATATATACGCAAAATGTGTCTAAACAAAATGCCAACTTCTGAAAACATCTTGCAAGTGCATGTCACTGTGTTGTCAATTTGATTAAAAGTAACGTTGTGTCTAATCAAATCTACCTCATTCAACCAAACATGATACTCATAATCATTACAATTCTGTGAGATTAATTTAAAAAAATGTGACATACCCTTCAAATATTGTTCTTGGAACAGTTTGAAAATCTCAAGGGTATACACATCTCAACGGTGCCTTCAGAACATCTAAAATCATGACCATTTTCCTCTAACCTCCATTTATCAACAACCAAAACATTTTGAAAAAAGCACATAATGTTGTAGTCTTTGTAAGTCTTCTAGTTATGGATCCATTTGTAGATTCACTTCTTTGTGAGGATAGAACACCACCATAGAAGTAATCCTTTGAAAGCAGGACACCACTTTTCTTTATGACTGTACAACCTCTTCAACCATGTGTTGTCACTGCATTCATAAACTCTATTCAATCTGAAATGAATTTAAAAAGAAGACAAGATTACGTATGAAAACCATACATGTTACACCAAATAATTGAGAAAGTTACATCAAATAATTAAGAAGTTACATCAGAAAACAAATAACTTACTCATTCCGGTAGAAATCAAACTCTGCAACTGTGTCACATCGCTTCACAACATAATCAAACAGAGGAACAAAATTTAACTTCTTGCGTACGTAGATGCATGATGTGTTTCTTTGAATTTTCATCTATATGCCAAGTGCAGAGTCTATGTCTTGCTCCAGGAAACACAGATTTGATAGTCGCTGACATGGAAAATGACTGGTCTGTCATGAAACTGATGTGCTGTTTACCACCCATAGATTTCAGAAAAGTCTGAAATAACCAAACAAAAGATTCCACCTTTTCGTTCAACATAAAGCCACAACCAAACATTATGTTTTTACAGTGCTGATTCATACCAATAAACGGACCACAAATCATGTCATACTTGTTAGTCATGTAAGTTGTATCATGCACAACTAGATCTCTAAACCTCTCATAATCGGATCTCATTTGACCGTCTCTCCAGAAAAAACAACTCAGTACACCGTCATCCAGCTCAAAATCAAAGAAAAAATCAGATTCCACTTCAGCCCTTTTCTTCAATATACCAATCAAAGTGTTCGAATCAATATCATCAAACGTTTTACTTCTTTCAGATTCTAGAACGTTATAAGCATCACGTTTCGTGAATCCAAAAGCACTAACACCACCAGCATGTTTTTGAAGCATCATGTGAACATCTGAAACCTTTGTCCCACTCTCCTTCATCAACATAATAAATTCAAGATACTCACGATCAATGCCTCTATGTGATTTCAGCAAGTGTCTTTGACCAATTGGACAAAAAACATGGTTGTGATCAATAATATGCTTTGAAACAGTCCATTCACCATCAATACTAATAGAAAACTGTAACTTCGCTTTACAACCAGAACGATAATCTAACTTCGTATACATTTTGTTTTCAGTACCCTTTTGTTGTTTCTTCCCTTCTTTCCAACAACAGTAAGACTTCATAATCAAACTTACATTGCCACTCCTAAACCTCTGTTTGTATCTACGAATACCAAATCCATTTTCAAAAGCATGATCGTTGTAAAGATTATAAGCATCCTGTTCACATTTGACACCAAGCCCAATAAGTGATTTACTCTCAGTTGACTGTGATCAGTTTCCAATGAACTTGACAATTTACAAAGCGTATATATGAAAACAAACAACAACTACATACATTGGAACTACGTTACATTAAATTGAACTGAAGTTACATATCATGTAACACAAGTTACATACAATTGAGACACGAGTTAAATACTATTGAAGTTACATGACATAATAAGTACCTCTGCTAAGAAGATATAACAATTTAGAAGCTTTTGAAACAGTATCTTCTTCTTGTCCTGAATGTAAAACCAGCAACTATGAATACTCATACAATCCAAATTCTCAAGCAATCGTATAAAACAGAGAACAAAAGATATTAGACAACACTCCAAGCACAAATAAATGAAATTCACACAACATGAAACATTAATACTTACCGATCAATTCAACATCAATCATTTGATCAACTTTGAAATCATTATCACCAATTGAATGAATGATGTTATCGTGTGTATCAGAAGCAAAAGTATCTCGCAATCCAATCGAAGAATCAACAAGAACAGAATCATCGACAGAAAAATCCATTGAAGAAGTCTAGAAACGTATCGAAGAAATGACAGAGAGTAAGGAGAAAAATCCGTTAATGTTGAGCTGCGGAAATATTCAGTCGGTTAATGCCAAGATGCAACCTAATTTTTTAATAAATGGAATGACGACGTTTTGGGATCGGGCACACCATCCTCATGGTGCACCGATCCCAGGATATAAAATGCGCTAAAATGATGCTTTGTAGTAACTTCAAGCAATACATCCAGAAAAATAACTCCAATCTTACTTTTTCTTATTATTACGCAATTCAACGCGCGAAAAAAATGACGTATTTGATGAAAAAACTGAATTATAAGTTTGACAAGCCGAAAAAAGAGTTACCAAAAAATCTTTGTAAGCTCAACTTTCTAACAAAGAATCTAAGCAAAAAAATGAAGTCTAATAATCTAATTATTATACGCACCTAATTAGTCGACTACAGACATCAGTATGTCACACAGTCACAGTACCCCTTTTCAATTTCTTGACTATGTTCCCTCAAATCTCTTCCCAAATACGGACTGGAAATCGCCTTAACTCTGAGTGTCATTTCTTCACCGTATAGCCATGGCTTCTAATGGAGCTTCTCGGGTAAGTTCTCCATACACTTGTTATACATAAAAGGTTATTTGCATATTTGTGTGTGTGTGTGTGTGTGTGTATATATATATATATATATATATATATATATATATATATATATATATATATATATATATATATATATATATATATATATATATATATATATATATAAATGCAGTAGAGATGTGTAATTTTCCCTCTTTTTCATTTCAATTTAGGGGGCCGAAGATACAAAGACCAGCTTAGAGAAGATCAAGCGGCAGCTAGCTTCCGGCTCGGGTCGCAATTTGCTACAGGGTCCGCTCCTCAAACGATCCGAGACTGTAAGCTCACACTTAGACTTGGTAGTCGTTTTCCTAAATTCGAAGATTGAATTCGGATCGAAGCTGTAGTTGGATAAAGCGTAATTCACTGTTTTCTTTTCTCGATCTTCTATCTGAAACTAGCTACTTGCTCTTTTATTCACTTTGGCGGGAGATGGAATACTTATTAAGTAGTGATCGTATTTGGGTCCATTCCTGCGGCTCATGCGCTGTAGTCAGTTCAAGGGAAATCGAACCCATTCCCCAGTACTCCAGCCACGAGGCTCAGACCTTAGATTTTACGCAAAGGCAAAGTGAACACCTAAATCAGACACCATAACACTAGTGGTGGTGCTTCTAGGCAAATATCTTGTGTGGGTTGTATTTTTTATATCTTTTTTTATTAATATTTTTTCCAAGACTATCTTAAACTTTTAGGAGGGCGTGTGCTATTTATAAAATTAGGCTTTATTTCATAAAAGTTGTGCAGAATTTTAATCAAGAGTTTTGTTTCGAATATCCTCATAAAATGTTCATATTGCTTCAAAAGTTTAGGCCTTCTAAATCTGGAGGCCTGGTGTTGTAACCCTTTTTGCATGGCCTACTAGACGGCCCTGACGTTTTCTTGAACCTAACTAAGTAGCTGTATGATTGAAACAAGTCTGCTCAGAAATGCCAATTTTGCACCAAAGTTTCTCTTCATTAATTGTTAGTGTTAAAAAGAAATTTTACTCTCTTCTCTATTGCATCTAGATTTAAAAACCCATTTTATTTAACCAACTACATCTAAGTTTTCCCTGGAATCATGCCTGTTGTGAAACGCTCAAGCTCTCGTCATACTTGTATGATGTAGTGCTGACCTTTGACTGCATGCACTTTTGGGTTGTAAATGAGGACTTGTTTGCACAACAGTGGTTTTTCTGGTCAAACTTGGTGCAGATCACATACTGGAAAAAGTCAAGCTGATGGACTATCCTTAATAATATGTTTTTAGCATCCCTGGTAGGGTACAGGCTGACCATTATTGCTGCATTTCAGTATTTGGCTTAAAATAAGGAAATTAGAGGATTGGTGGACAAGCTGAAAAAACTAGCACCAGCCATTCAGTTGGAAATATGCATAGAAAACCACAAAACAGAATATATAATGATGATACAAATGATGTAATGTATTGCGTATATTTTTAGTGAGATATACCTGTTTTTACAGAGATATAATAAGCAATGAGTTAGAGGTTCACTAGGCTTTTTTTATATATTTCAACACTCCATTCGAAATTTGAGTATTTAGAATTTTCAGAGTTTTATTAATACACACACTTCACTTTGAATGAAATGAAATCGAAAGATGATAAAGCAGTGAAACCAAGAGTTCTTCTACAGAGCGCACTGCCTATGTGGTCACACTTTAATGTGTCCACATTACTGAATGTAGAATTAAAGTCACATGGTTCCATCAAAATCATGTGGGACTCACAAGTGCCATATAACTCCTTTCCAGATTAGATAATTTGGGGCTTTGGGCACATTCAAATGTGTCGCAATGGGCTCCTCAAATTTATTTTTGTGATACTAAAGGTAGATGATTCCATATGTGAAAAGCTTTGGAAAAATGACAATATACATGAGCCTGAAGGATGTAGATGAAGGCGCCAAGGGGCAAATCCTAACAAAAATAACTTCAAACCAACACGAAAACAGTAGCACTCTAGAAGAGAATGTCAAGATGGGATTTCTTCCATCAACTACACGAAATGTGAAGGATGGAGCTTCTATTCATCTTACTAACAAGTTGTAGTATAAATGGGCTATATATAGCCAATAAACCTCTGTAACAACACTCCTCAATAAAATGGAGAAGACGATGGCTGCTATACAAGCTAGCATAGCAGAAATACAAAACAAACTTCAAAGTCGATCGAAGAATCGATTGCACACCTCTCACCATATTTCGCATCCTGGAGAGATGGGCAACATAGCACTGCGAGCGAGGAGCCCTAGACATCGCTCAACGGAATCGTTCACCAGTTCGCAAACTGAGTCACGAATGGTTATCCAGAGTTCACTAGCGCGAACAGCTTCTCTCAGTTCGCGGGAATCGTCGCTAAGCGAGCAGCAAACCGCAACAGCAGATCTCAGTCTGCAGGTATTTCCCTCCGCGAACAACTCGCAACAGAAGGCAAAATGAGTGAGAGAAGAATCCTCATCTTCATCGCCAGTCGATTCTCATTGTTCACATTATTCATCTCAAGCCGTTTCTTTGAGTTCGCAAGCAATTTTTCTTTTGGTTCGCAAGTTTTATGGCAAGATGTTTCTCACATGGAGCAAAATTTTCCCCAGTCCATAAAGAATACCGAGTGGGATTCAGATAAGTCTGTAATCAAGAACCCTAATGCGGAAGACAAAGTCCAGGAGCAGTCTACCGTTACCGGTGGACCGGAAGCTGAGGCTGAAGTGTTTCTGATGATTGACAAGGATATCAACCTTGATCTATTCACAGACGCCTTAATCATGGATGAACAGGTTAGGGGAAGGCCAGTACTTTGTATACCTGTTCAAGATGGAGGTGCAGGTTTTGATTACCTGCTACAGAGGGCCGGTACCTCATCCTTGTTTATTTTAGATTGGAATGTTTCATCAGATGGAACCAGACCTACAACTGAGAAAGACTGTGAACTGAATGTATTGGACTTCCTCTACAATAACTCCCATCAGTTAACATCTGGTGTCAAATTTAAGAATGAAGGTTATGTTGTTGACTTGACTTCAGAACTTCAGTTGGATGGAATCAAGGTGAATCTGGACTCTACTATTCAGACTGCTATACTTGATGTCTCCAAGAAGTACCCTATGGATTTATCCTTAAAACCAGAAGGTGTTCAAAAGCAAGTAGTTATTTTCTGTGTTGCAACAGGTGGCACCTTATCCTTCACCGAATTTGAAAGGATCAAGCTCTTGGAAAAGATGTTGGAAGAAAAGCCAAGGTTACAACAACAGAGGCAGATGTTGGGATATTATATCCTTTACAACGTTAAGGAGCATTATGCCACCATGCCCTTGCATCTGTGTATTTCTGCTGTGAATTATATGTGGAAGAAGATGGAAGTAACAAAGCTAAAGGTCCACCAATCAGCCAAGTATTGGGAAGGGAGAGGCGCAAGGATGAAGAGGAAGCAGAAGATCTTGACTGTTTCCTATCGCCCACCTTGAGGGCAAGGTGGTTGTTTAGGGGGGGAGATATGGTAGGGACCTGGTAGAATAAGAGTAAATAAGAAGAGTAATAGCTAGAGTAGTATAAATAGAATAGACTGGGGGAAATAGAGGAGGCTGTTAGACAGTTAGACTCTGGGCTGGGAGAAGCTGAGATATTGGTATCTCGTTTCTTGGGAGTTCTCTGTACACTTTCCACCTTTAATGAAAGCTTCAGTTGTTTCTTGAATACTATTCTCTTACTTGATTTCAATACAAACCGGGGAGAGTTCTTACAGTCTCTTGTAGCTGTTAGTGAATAGTGACCAACTTTACAACCATCTTGTGATAGCTGGCTGCTACTTCTGTAGTGTTAGGGGGCTAATACTCCTAAGAGTTCAATCTTTACTGTTTTTTTCTGGTTATATTAAGGCAATGTGTGTTTATATGTATTCAACTGGAAGTAATAGTAGACATTTTTTACCATTACATAAAATATGAACTTGCTAGTGCTTCCCATTTATTTACTAGTTAAAATCTCATTGTTTTTTGCAATGTTCAATCGTTTCAAAATGTATTGTTATCTATTAAGAGTTAAGACTTATGTTTACCGAGGAACTTTGTTTTGCAAGTAGTTGAGGAAATGGAATGAGAGATGGGTGATCTTAGACCCTACAACCGGAAAAATGGAATACAAGTAAGTCTTTTTTAGTTGAAATTCTCAACCCATCCTAATGTATTGTGTGTATGATGCAATTGCTGACATATTATTGTATTTGGGTTTGAAGGGCCAAAAGGAACGAGCCAACAGCCAAGGGAACCATTTTATTTGACGCAAATAGCACAATAACTATATCACCTGTGAATATCCAGTATGCTTGTTATACCCTTTTGAGGAATTATCCTGCTGGTTGTACATCTCTTCCATCTCCAACTGGTCAACTCTCTCTTTTTATTGATTTGTTTACTTTTTCCTTTCTATCGGTGCAGTGGGCTTCCAAAATATGATGGCTGCTGTATCTGTATCCATCTTAAGTGTTTCGTGTTGTTTTTTAAAAAGATCAGCTTCTGTTTTCTCTCTTTTCAAGGACTCTCTTAAATTTCTAATGTCTGAAGGATGGAGTGAGGACAATTAGGCTTGACTACAGACTACAGTGCAGGCAAACTGTAAAGTTGCATCACTTGTTTAAATGCTTTGTCAACAGATTTTGCATATTTGGTTCTTAACTGTACTAAGATATTGGGACACCACAAAAGAAGGACTACTTCCTCTGTGCAGAGACCCCAGCTGCAGCTAGAGCTTGGGTGTCTACATTGCAGTGAGTATTACAATTTTCTGTTTAATGATGTTCAAACCCCCGGGGGCTCTTGTGGGGGGGGGGGGGGGAGGGGTTCAATAAAGATGGAGATCAATCCAATATTGATTTATCTTTCACCCAACACCCAAAGTTTCTTCAAATAAGAAATATGGAGTAAAGAAAAAAAAGAGACAGTGACAAATAGATGGCTAAAATAAAAGTTATGGACAAGAATATTACTTTTACAGTGCAAGGTCTATGGTAGTATGTTTGAAGTGAATGTGGTGACAAAGGTGATGTTTAGTATTGCTATGAAGTGACCATGATGCATTATTTGCATTGGCTAAAGTAACTATATAGTTGTTTTTGTTCATACATTTTATTTTATAATTTTTTTAGGAAAAACTCCAACACAAAAGCAGACACTATGACATGAAGAAAGTAAATAAGTTTATCAAGATTTCAGAGGCAATGTTATAATTTTGTACTAGGCATTTGATTATATTTTGTATTCTTCTTCTCTCTTTTCTTCTGTTGTCTGTGTAAAATCAGTGCTACACAGCTGGTTTTAAGGGCTCATAAAGAGGCTGTAAATTCATTAAGTGGGAATGGGTCAAGCAAGTTGGGAACTGTTGCCACTGTAGTAGCTGCTGCTAATTCAACTGCCCTAGAAGCTTCAAAGGATATTGAAGCTGCAATGCAAATCTCAATGAGAAATGCTTTAGGAGCAATGAGGATCCATACACCTGACAGCCTTATGGATGATATGTCAATTATGAAGGTAAGCTGGGTCCTATACCTAGTCAGGCTTTAAAAAAATTCTCTCTTATCAACATTGATAGTTAATACTTAATATACGCAGTGTACCATAGCAAGTTTCTTTTAGGTTTTCTCCCTAATCCCAGTTCCCAAGAAGTCAAGAACTCCAATAAGAATACAGGCAGTGGTGATAAGTTTCCGCTTTTAGGTTCTCTTCCAAGCTGTGATATTGCTTATGTTTTAATGTGTACTGAGTTACTACTGTTGTACTCCTTCCGTCCCAAAAAATGAATGCTGTTTGATTTTTATACAACTTATTACTAGTCAACTTAATCAAGATACAAGCTTTTACAGGTTATGAATGGTCACTTATACAGTAAAGCTGATTCAAATTATTTTTCAAGTAATTGACCATAATGTGTGCCGCTTAGATTTAAAGAATTTTACTTAGAAACTAAAGTTAAATTTTAAACCAGACTTTCTTTGGGACAAAAAGTTCTTGAAACAGAGTTCCTTTGTATGGGTAGGGGCGAATAATATATTTGATGCTTTTTTTGTGCTTTTTTGTGGTCCATGCTTGAAATGTGGCATATGGTGAAAATATTTCCATTTTCTGCATCCGCTCAATGAGGTGCATGTGACGGTCTATGTGATGGAATAGCTGTGAAATCTTCTTCTATAAATTTCTTTGGTTGATGAAGTAATACTCATATTGAAGTTCGCTGAGACACTGCTTTGTTTACCATTTTTTGGTTAGTTATTTGGTGACAACGAAATAATGCTTCTCTTGTTTATAAACAAACCATAACTTTTTTTTTTGTAATGGCAGAAGCCAGTTCCTATTCCCATTCATGGTGTTAGGCTAATGATCTCTAAGGGTGTGTTTGGGAGTTGGGGTTTGGAGGGGAGGGGAAGGTTTATGGGGGTTTATAGTCCTCCTTTTCATGTTTGAGAGTTTAAGAAATTGAAGGGATGGTTTTGGATGGCTTTTGTAACTCTCCAAAACCCTCTAAATGCTCAATTTTTAAGTTACCCCAATTTGGAGGGTTTTGAAGTGTAATTAATGAAATGATAATTTAAGCTTAATTTAAAATGAATATCAATTAAATTATTTGAATTTGTCATATCTCAATGTGATTTTAATTATAATTCCTTCAAAGACTCTCTTCTTCCAAATTTATTACTCCCAAATAGGAAGAAGGGTTTCCTCACCTTCCCCTCTCTCTCCCCTCCAACAACATAGCTTCAGTGCCTTCTCCTCCCCTTCCCTCCAAACTCCCAAACATACGTCAAGGTTTGGTTTGTGTGGAGTATTTTGGAGGGTTTTAGTAGCGAAGAGTTTAGAGGGGTTAGTCCTATCATGGTAAATATAATGTTTCTAAAAACAAATCAAGGATGATTGGAATGTTTGATCACCGTTATGCTATTATTATAATTATTTCAATTTTTATTAAAATCAATTATATATCAAGATGTAGACTTATACCTCAAAGACTATGCACCCATACTGACCCTATGGCACAATGTCGAGTATTCACACATGTATCATTACATAGATATCCTGAAGTGTGGGTGGATTTTGCAAGATGTGTACTTGTGCTTTGGGTATAAATTGCTGATGCCTTAAGCCCTTAACATAGACCATAGTTGTTTTGAGAGTTGTTGCTTGAATTGGATATTCATTTTCTTTTTCTTCTGTATTGGGAGTCTGCCCATAGATGAATGTATTATTGTTTAGGGCTGATTGGCTGAACTGAAGGTGTCATCTGCACGCTACAGGAGACACTAAAAGTTAAGGATGAAGAGTTGCAAAATTTGGCACGGGAACTTCGTGCGAAGGACTCCACAATAAAAGAATTAGCTGAGAAACTCTCTGAAACTGCAGAGGCTGCGGAGGGTGCTGCTTCCGCAGCTCGTATAATGGACGAGCAAAGGAGAATTGCATGTGCCGAGGTTGAGCGCTTCAAAGGGGATTTAAAACAGCAATCGAACTCCTCCATGTCAAAGGTTCTATTATTTACTGGTGTGGATGTGTGGTATTTAATGAACCCTCCAAAAACGTCTTGTTTGAGCATTCGAAAACTTATTTTTGTCCCTAAAATGTTTCGTTTTAACAAAAGAAGCTAATTTTCATTATATTTTATGTATTTTTTTTAAAAGGTGTCTGTCCCAAAGTCCCAAACAAGTTATACCAAATTATTTGTTAAACCAACACATAAATTTAAAAATATAGCTAGAGTTGATGTTTTCCAATATCTGTATCTTCCTAAAATTAGAAAGTTGCAACTGAGCTTAACATGGTTTTTTTCTTGGGATGGAGGCAGTATAATTTTTATCTTTCTGCTTTCATTTGAGGTATTATTCTTGAATTGTTAATATACAAATTACCTCTTGGTGTGTAGATGAGGGAATTTGAAGAAAAGATTTCGTCTCTGATCAAGGAAAGAGATCAAATGATAAAACACAGAGATTCTGCCGTCGAGGAAGCGCTTTTATGGCGTACTGAGCTTGGAAAAGCCCTAGAACGTGTCGTCATTATGGAAGGAGCTGTTTTCCGGGCAGAGGAAAAGGCTAAGGTTACTGAAGCTGAGGCTGAAGCTAGAATAAAGGAGGCAGCACTAAGAGAGGCTGCTGCTGTGAAGGAGAAACAAGAACTTTTGACAAGTTTAAATATGTTACAGTCACAACTTAAAAGGTATGGACTACGGAGTAGCTTTTTTAATATTAAAAAGTTTATATCAAAATTGGTTTGCCTTCATATTTTCCAAGGGAAAAACCTGTTTCTATAGCATTTTGTTACCTTTTCCTGCCATTTTCTGCATTCCCAAAATAGCATAATTTATTTTACCTTGTTACAAGGAGTATGGATGTTTTTACTTGGGCTGTTTTCGGTCTCAGACCAGACTAGACCAGACTTAAACAGACCAGACCAAACATAAACGGACCAGACCAGACTTAACAGACAAGACCAGAGCAGACATCCATAGTTATAAAATACAAAGAGACTAGACATTTACCAGACTAGTTCAAACCAGACAAGACTTAACCAGACCAAACCCCACAAATTACAGTCCAAATAAAAACATCCTTTATATGAGTTTTACTATTATCTGGATATGCAATGGACGTGTTATGATCAAATCAAACAATCATTGGTACCTACTTTGAATCTGTGATGATTAGTATACATTAGATGAAGTGTTATTAACCTTTGGATGATTTTCATGGGCATTCTAACTCGCAATTCTTTAGGGTCTGCCTGTGTTCAGGAAAATATCGGGGAAAGATAACAGGAATGAAAACATTGAATAAAATAAGGAAAATTCCCGAAATAGGAGTAAAAAAGTGTGAAAATTCTAAAATAGGACTGTCATGTTTTTATTTCCAAAATAGGAGTAATTACTGCCATGCTTGTCACGGCGGTAAGTCGAGTCGCGGCGCCAGCCGACCGCCTTATCGCCTAGGCGATAAGGCGCCTGCCTAGGCGACAATTAGGCGACTAGTCGCACATTCTATATTATATTTTATTATATATATAATTATATATATATAATATAATACATTACTAATTAAATTGTATTTCTTTATATATTACTAATATATTACAAAAAGTAAAGTACGTATTTAATTATTTACATTTTTCATATATTTGTATACTTAACAAACAGTTAAACTACGTAAACTCAGTAAAGTATAAAATATATTTGGGCATAATTACGCATACCATGTTTACAAAATACTCTGTATATACGTATTTATATAAATATACAACTTAATTAATTAAAATATTACTCCACTAGACCAGAAAAAAATAGAGCGTACTAATCGTCTCCTCAGCGCAAATATGCTTACGCGAGGGACTGAGGGAGTGCGAGACGCGCAAGCTCTTCTGCTTCCTGGAGTTGCTGCGGTGCGTATGATTCCTCCGACTTGTCTGGCTAGTCTCTACGACTTGAGTTCGAAGATGGAAACAAATAGCCCGTAAGATTATCAGATACCTTCGGGCTTTGTTTTCAATTAAAAGCCTAAATCTATTTTTTTTTCTGGGCCTGCACGGTTGTTGACAGGCAAAAAAGGCGACGACTTGTCGCAAAATCGCGCCTAGGCGACGCCTGGAGGACGCCTATCACGACTATTATTCTTCTGGCGAGGTGAGTGAAGACGGCGATAACTCCCTAGCGCCAGGACGCCTAGTCGGCGACTAGGCAACGCCTAGGCGACGCCGTAACAAGTATGATTACTGTCAAGTTTAGAAAATACTGCCATGTTTAAAGTCTGGTACTGCCAAAACATGACAGTAATTAGTCCTATTTTAGGAATAATAACATGATAGTTCGATTTTGGAATATACAAACGTTTTAGTCCTATTTTGGGTAATTTCTCAATAAAATATGAAGGAAACATGATTTGAGGGGGGGTGGGGGGGGCGGGTTAAGAGACATTAAAACTAAACCTATTTATTTTATGTATTTGGTGATGCTCATTGTGATGGAATAAAGCAAAATGGCTCACTAAACTGTCTGCGCTTCTTTGTTATGGAGCAGCAGTCAGTCCATGCAATTTTGGACACGATTTTCACTATGGGTCATCCGGAAACAGTCTCTCTGTGCTTTAGTACAGGGGTAAGACTGCGTACATCCGACCCCCCCTTACCCCACCGTAGGTGTGAGCCTTTGCGGCACTGGGGTAAATGAAAATGAATGATGAAATGGTGATGCTCATTGTATTTTCATACAACAACAACATTATCCTAGTGCCGCATAGCTCCCATCTGCGTTGGGGTTTAAGGGGGTCGAATGTACGCAATCTTACCCTTATATTAAAGCAAAAAGAGATTATTTCCGGATGACCTATGATGAAAATCACGTTGAGAATTGCATGGAAGCTTCATAACAAAGAGGAACATACAGTTTAGTGAGTTATTTTGCTTTAATCCATCACATTCCCAAGCCAAAAGTAGAGACTGTTTCCACCATTATCATTACCCCAGTGCCGCAAAGGCTCCTACCTTTGGTGGGGTAAGGGGGGTCAGATGTACGCAGTCTTACCCTTGTACTCAAGTACAAAGAGACGGTTTCCGAATGACCTAAAGTGAAAAAGCGCTTCGAAAATTGCATAGACTGAGTGCTACTTCATAACAAAGAAGCGCAAACAGTTTAGTGAACCATTTTGCTTTATTCCATCATATTCCCATGAAGGAAATAAAAGTAATACGAAGTAAATCATAAATATATGTAAATTCAAATAAAAATATTAATGACATACTATCTTTGTCCAACTAATTGTTGGACATGCGGAAGTAATACTCATATTATGGAAAATGAAATTATGTGGTTGATATTAATTTTGCAGTGTGAATGGATTTGAACCTCCCAAATATTATCAAAAATACTATAGGACAGTAGTAGGACGGACTAGAAAGGAAAGATGAAACAAACATAGTGGGATTAAGGCGGTATATTTTCCTTTGCATTTTTCTTTGTTCTCCTTAGCAGTTTGGTTCTCCTTCCCTTAGCATTTTCTGTGATCCAAACATATCCATAAAGTTACTTGACACTTAATTTTCCGGGTTAGCAGGCAACATGTCAGTGAAGCTAAACAAGTGTTTGAGGAGAAAGCTGAGTCTTGCTCAAGTAATAATGCTGTTAATAATAATCTCCCAGAAACGAAGCATATGGATCCATCAGAGGAGAACATTGATAAAGCTTGTTTAAGTGTGTCAAGTGCGGTTGCGCGTGATATTCAAGCGACAGAGCCCACAATGGCTGATGTAAGAGAGGTTTCATCCGGAATAGAAGAGAGCAGTTTGGATATACCAATTCAGCAAGAAGGGCCAAGCCCGTCTCACCAGCCATAGATATATCTTTCCCATATATGGAACAAGAGTTTATGTACTATTAGAAATGGGAAGAGCCATCCCTTTTGCCGCTCCATGACTAAGCTTGAGCCTTTATTGATCTTTATATATGCCGGTCTGCATGGTTTTATCACGTTCATAACATGGGCATTGCCTCTAAGACATACATGTTCATAATTTCCTTGTTTTCCCCCTCTAACTTGCTCTTTACATACATTTTCCTTGTTTTTTCCCATCTACCTTTTCTTTTTTTAAACGCATATAGAATAAGAGAATACCGACAAAGTGACCATGAATATGAATGATTGTGATTATATATTCAGATTGCTATAGATCAAGTTTTATGAAACGCTCTAACTTTGACATGATTGTATTGAGTTTTTGGTAGTGTTCTGGGTTTTCTCTTTGGATACCAAACATTTCTATCATAGTTATCACAATATCACATACGCAAAATTGAAATGCAAATTATTATCATTATACACTCATGAGCCATGATTTGTGAATCATCTATCTATATACAAAGCGGAGTGGAAAGTTTGGCAATTAATTGTGTATTGTACCGCAAAATCCAGAAGTTAATACATGGTTGTGGGTAGGAGTGGACTTGGGCCGGGCCAACCGGCCTGGAACCGGACCGGCCCGCTACTGTGCGGGCCCGAACCGGCCCGCTACTGTGCGGGCCCGGACCGGCCCGGTGAACCGGTTGGTGCCTGGTTCGGTCCACCCGGCCCGGTGAGGTAGGCGGGCCGGGCCCGGGCCTCCTAAATCGTGAACTAGGGATGGATTCGGTTCGGACCACCCGGCCCGTGACCCGGACCGGCCCGGTACTGTGCGGGCCCGGGACCGGCCCGGTCGGGCGGTCCGGGACCGGGTATGGGCCCGAACCGGTGGGAAGGGGCGGGGCGGGCTCGGTTCAGCACTATTGGGGGTGGGGCTGGGGGACAACCCAAACGGCTATATAGTCGTTGGGTGGGGTAAAGGGGGGGTCCGGGGGGGTTGGGTGGTGGGGGGTGGTGGGGGTTAAAAAAACCTATAAATACTCCTAATCTTAAACATTTTTTCATATCTCTTCTCCAATTCTTCCTAAATCCTATTCTTAACTCTCTACTCTCTAATTCTCTTATTCTCCAATATATTATATATCTACTCTCTAATTCTCTTCTCCAAGAAGTTAAGATGGAAAATCAAGATGCCATTATACGGTATAATTTTGATAAACAGAAGGACCCGAAGACCGGGATGTGGTACGCAATTTGCAAATGGTGCGAAAAAAAATGTATCATGGGGGCTTCAGGCGGATTCGGGATGACAATCAAGCATATGAAGTCATGTGACAAAGCCAAAGGATCGGGAGGTGCGGGAAGTTCCGATTGATTACAATTTTCAAAATGTTTATCTCTTAAAGTTTGTTTTAATTTTCAAATGTAGTTCCTATTTCATTTCAAATAAATGCAATTGAAGTTTGTTTTTAATACTCGTATAAAACTATAAACTATAAAATATAAATTATATAAAAAAAAATTAACCGACCCGGTCCGAACCGGACCCGACCCGTGACCCGGGCGGGTGGCCCGACCCGAACCGGACCCGTCCAACCCTCGGGCCGGTCCCGGGCCCACTTTTCTTGAACCGGCGGCCCGACCGTGCCTAGGCCCGGCTCGGACCCGACCCGACCCGTGCCTAGGCCCGGCTCGGACCCGACCCGACCCGGCCCGAATCCATCCTTATCGTGAACTGGCCCGACTGGTTCGGGCCCGGTTCGGGCCAATTTTTTTTTTCTTTTTTCTTTTTGAATTTTTTAAAGTTTTTGGGTTGAGCTGGGTATGATGGGCCATTTGAGGTGGTTTGAGGTGGTTTGGGCGTGAGGTGGGAGGGTTGGGGGTTAATTAGGAAAAGCCAAAAAAAAAATATAAGAATCGAGGCCCGGCCCAGATCGGACCTGGGGTTACACGGGCCGGTTCCGGGCCTCCCCTTTCATGAACCGAGGCCCGGCCGGGCCCAGGCCCGAACCGGAACCGGTCTACCCCTAGTTGTGGGCTATGTAATACCCAACGGTTGCACCGTTTGGAACAAACGCTTAAATACACATTTTAGCTTAAAAACATACGAAGTATTTGGGTAGACCGTCCTTTGATTTTAAAAATGAGTGTTATGGGATATCTGCCAATTGAGTGGACCGTCATTTGATTTATTGAGCCAAGTTTTTTCATTTGACTGTGCTACATATATACACCATGCTTGGATATTGAGAGGCAAAATATTACTTTTTTTGGCAAAAAGTATTCTAATTTCTAATTATTAGTTAACAAAAATACTTCGTGTAATTTTTTATGGAAGATTTTTTTATTTTATATGAAAAATTCTTAATGTTTGTGATAAGTAATACTACTAATACAAACATCATATCACAAATTTTCAAATTAATAGTAAGTGTAATTGTCCAATTTTCACGTTTGTTGATGTATAACTTTGACCAATAATATATTTAATTATTTCTTTATAAGTAAAACAAATTAAAGATTCATATTTCGATAGTTTATGTTGACACAAATTTAACAATTTTTTAATGTAGTAAATACTCCGTAAAAATAATTTATTAATACCTAAATAAATACTCCGTAAAATGTAGTAAAAGTACAAAATGTGAAAAATATAAAATTTATCATGTTGCATTGATTTAAGAACATAGTTTTCTATAGTACATGTGTGTGTGTGTGTGTATATATATATATATATATAGACACAAACATTCATGGACATAAGTATATGATATAATATGTGGGGGTCACGCGTACCCATATCCTGATTAATACATGGGGGTATGCTTAGTAAGCGACACTTTAAGCACCCTTTTTGATTAATAAACAACTTTTAAGCAGCTTGCGTGTTTACTTCACCACTTACTAACTTAACTGTGACTTTAGCAACGAAGTAAACATGTTCTTAAAGAGGGTGAGCCCGATTCCAACCATTCCAAGGATGAAACAAAAACGAGACTAGTTGTTTAAGTGCAACGACAACTTTAATTATTCACTATATTATTTACCCAACCTCATGGTGTAAATAATATAATTACATAATTAAATTCTCCCGTAAAACTTCAATCCAGGACAAGGTAAAAGAAGATTAACGGTGTGTTCAGAAAGTGTTCATTTGTGTATTTAACAAACAATATGTTTATGATTTAGTCTACTCATACTATATATCACAAACACAACATAATTAATTTTCTGGACACAACAATCTAAATAAAAACAAACTTAAGAATTAAAATCAATACAAATTAAAACATGATAAGGACAATTAATTGACCAATTTCTAGCCCCAAATTTATTTAGCTATACATGTTGGGAAGCATAGAAATAGATGAATCCATGATTAAAGTAGAAGATTTAATGAGATAAGGAAGATCAAACTTGTGGTAGATGACAATCTTTGGAGCTTTGATGCTAATCTTAATTAAATATTGGATGAGAAAGTGATTAATTGTGGTTGAAGAGGGGTTGATGATTTGGGGTTGAGAAATGAAAAGAGAAGGAGGAGGAAATATTTCTGGGAGGTGTGGAGAGATAATGGTCCGAAGTTATGTGTGGTGGAAGAAGGATCAAGGCAATATAATGATAAGGTGATTAATGATTAATTGGTGTAATTTACGAAATAGATAAGTGTATGCATGTACAGAAAAGCGCAGTAACGTTCCAACATTATGCAGCAGCCCAGCGGTTACGGGACTGGTTCGGAGACTCTAAGGTCGTCGGGTTCAAAACCCGGCCTTTGCCTTTTATATATTATTCATCTTTCCAGTGCTGGCCTGAAACAATATATACGAATATCCAACAAAAACTTAAACTTGTTCATTTAGTTCACTCGTTTAGTATATCCTTGTTTGTTTAATTAACCAGTGTTCAAATCCCATATCCACCTTTGTCATTTTTTGCTATTTTTCTCCAATTTACTTCTTATTTGCTTTGAAGGAAATTCGACTTTTTTTATCCTCCAACACGAACTTTTATTTTCTTCATTTCTTCACGCTAAATGTATCCAAATGACATCAAAAGTACCTGAAAACACCAAATATACGCATAGGACCACACTAATACAAATTAACGACAAATAATAAAAATATGTACAAAATTACAACTTTAATAACTAAATTATCAACAAACTAAACCTAAAAAATGTGTAAAATATAAGCACATCAACTGTCTCTCCAAAACCGCCTCCTCAAATACCACTATACCACCCCTCATCTTCATGGATCAGCTTGCCTGGCATAAATCACTCTCAAAATATGTGAATTCGCCATTGGTATAACAAATTCTCTTGTAGTGAAAATCAATATATATATATATAAAAGAGGAACTTTTTAAGAGCATACAAAGCGTCACATAATCCTGCCATGTCATTATATATAACAATTATTTACTTATTTTTATACCTTTTGTTTTTATTAGATTCTATTTTTGATTGCATATTGATATGGAAACAAAATCCTTATAAATCCACCTTAATTAATTTGGTAAGCTTCAAATAAGTAAAATAATTTTTGGTTATCAAAGTGAAATTCTAATAGCGTTTATTGATATGGAAACTAATTTATATTAGTTTACTACACCGAATTAAATAGAAACAAATATGCAAATTAGTTTACTTATTAATTTGACACCTATTAATAAATTAGTAAGCTTCAAATAAGTAAATAATTAAAAATGAAATTAAAAATTATAACCAACATAAAGTATATATATTTTCACAAGTAAATATGTTTAGCTTAGCCAAATAAGTAAAAAAAATTGGTTGTTTCTTTATTTTACACCTAAACGTCAAATATGCCTTCACTTTTGAAATAGATTCCTAATCCAAATTAGAAAATCTTTATAGGTTTACGAATTCCTACTTTTATTTTAATAGAATGTTTTTAATTGGATTGATTTCAGTTCCAGATTAAATCAGATCAGATCAAACTTTAATAATTATAACAATAAGTCACATAAAAAACAGACATCTAATAGACCATATTAATTCATACCAAATCAAACCCGAAATTTTAATTCAATTAAAAACGTTCTTAATAATGAGTAAAATGTAAGATCTAACAATTAAGAAATATAGATTTTTTTATTATTGGGTTCATAACAATTATGTTTACTTGAGATGCTTATATAGAAGACCAATTTAACTTTTTTTTTCATATATTTTTTTTCTTTGTTTCACAAATGGAATATACTTCACATATTTTTTTCATGATTCAGAAGATTCTACCTATTTAACCAGAATTCAATCAATTTCGGCAAAATAAGTTAATTCTATTTACTTTAGTATTATCAAACAGATTCTATATTAGACTAAGTTTATTTTTCTTTTAAATCACATTATATGTGATCTGATAGAAATTAAATTTCAAATTACTAAATTACATACTGATGATAGTAAGCATCTAAGTGAACAAAAAAAAACCTCACGAACATAAGGTGCAGTGTAGGGAGAACCGGAGAAGAAAGCCAAAGCCTTAAACCACATGGAAGAAAAACATGCACCGAATACACGGAGTATAAAAATATTACTGATGATATACGGATAAGAATTCATACAAATAAAAATAATGTAGTTCTGACGGGAATCGTCATCGAGCTCATCCACTTGAGGTGTTTTCGATGGAATTTTATGATGAAGTTTTGTGAGAATATTATTTTTGAAGTGTAGATTATGTCTGCAAAATTTTAGCTTAAAATTTAATCAGGAAGTTAGTTAAATTAATTATTGAAAAACACTACGTTAAAATGTAAATAAAAAACATAATGTTTTTCAATAATTTGTTTAACTAATTCCCGATTGAGTTTTAAGTTGAAATTTTGTAAACATAATTTACACTTGAAGAACGTCGTCACAAAATTATCAAAAAGATATACCCAGGATGTATAGATCTCATGACCCGATATTAAATCACGACCCTCCATTAATGCAAAGCATTTTGCCTTAAGGCTAGGGATGGACCCGGGCCGGTCCGGATCCGGTTCCGGGCCGGGGCCAGGCGTTTTTTTTTTCAAATTGTTGGGCCCGTAACTGGCCCGGGTTGATACCGGGTCCGGGCCTAACCGGTCCGGGCCCGGGTCAAGGTATTTGTTTTTTGCTTCCTAGTTAACCCCGACCCCCCCCCCCTCACCCCAAAACCCCCCCAAAACACCCAACCCTAACCAAGGAAAACAAAAAAAATTAAAAAACCCAAAAAAAGAGCCCAGGCCCGGTCCGAACCGCCCGGGCCGGTTCACCAAAAATAGGGTCCGAGCCCAGCCCGGCCAACCCTCCCCAACCGGGTAAAAGTCCGGGCCCGGTTAGCACCAACCGGTCCGGTCTGAGCCTGCACAGTGGCGGTCCGGGCCGGACCGAACCGGTTGGCTCCATCCCTACTTAAGGCAGAGAATCCTAGTCCATAAATTCATGTGGAGTATGCATTATGGAATTTATTATATGGGTAAATATGATAATTCAAAGACTTGAGGGGTTAAGTTGCAACACACTTTTATTCCTTCCCAAGAAAGCAAACTGGCTGTCCAGATTTTGCTCCTCGCTCTTATAGGGCTCGTTTACTTCTCATATCCATCAAACTCTTGCCGGGATCCATTCTTATTGTTTCTTTTGTGGGATCGCTGACGTAATCGTAAAAATGGACTCGAGTCTGCTCAATGGTCTGGACTCGCCTCACTCAATGGGAACCACCATTATCGGCGTTACATACAACGGTGGCGTCGTCCTGGGTGCCGATTCCCGTACCAGCACAGGTAATGTTCGATAGTATGTAGCTTCTAGATCTTATTTAGTTATTGGGGAAAGTGATGTTTCATTATGATTCTGTGATAGTTTTAACTCGATTATGCATATGATGGGAACTTAAATTGAATGCAGGAATGTATGTGGCGAATAGGGCATCCGACAAGATCACCAAGTTAACTGACAACGTCTATGTTTGTCGCTCTGGTTCGGTAGGATTCGTTCATTAAATCTGCCCTCAATGATCTACACAAAGTAAAACTAAAACAATTCATTGCTGTTTCTTTTGTTGGTAAATTTGCAAAGTATCTTAGGCCCGCTCTTAGGGTAGAATTTTAGGTTTCGCAATTAAGAGTGGTATTTTGCGGTATTAATTGTGCGGACACAATTTTCCAAACTACTGTATTTCACTGTGAAGCATTATTTAAGCAGTGGAATGATTAGATATGATGCAACACATACCCTGATACCTCTGCCCTTTAGTACAGGGGTAAGACTGCATACATCCGACCACTTGTGGTGGGGTAAGGGGGTCGGATGTATGCAGTCTTACCCCTGTACTAAAGCGCAGAGGCTATGTATCCAATGAAAAAAAAAGAGTTGACTACTTCTCTGTCTTTACTGTAAATGCAGCTCTTCTGTTTTCTAATTTCTCTAAAAACAACGTAGTTATAGGCATATAAAGAAGCGTCCAGAACAAAGGAAGATACTGTGTGTCATAAATTTACCAAATCTCATTCATTTCTATCTGCTTCTTAAAATCTTTTGCACTTCAAATCTTAAATTATCATTAAGGTTTGATTCTCAAAACTGTTATGGCATACTTCATCATCCTAATGTTCAATGGTACCGGATGCCAAAATTGAGCTTTATTTGCACCGAGAAGTTTCAATTGAGATTTTGAGAAGACCCTTAGTTTAAAAACAAAAAATGGGGAAAGATCGGGATTGAAGGAATAAAACGTGGTGCTATTTGCCGATGCTTCTATTGACACCTATGTTGCACGGAAACGCGAAAATCAAGAGAAAACGGGAAGCATCGACTGTTGCTCAAAAAACGCTTGTTTGGAGAGTTTCCAAAAAGTTTCTGTAGAGCTTCCGAAACGGAAATGTGCTCTTTACCGAGAGTTTCCATACTACATAGATTGAGACATGATAAACAATAGTTATAAATGATTGTTATTGTGAATTATCATCTGTCTTGATGGTTGTGTTTTGAATTTTGGTCTTGTTTTTGCTCGGATGGAAGTCCAGTCTGGCTAATTTAATATTTCTCTGATAGGCTGCAGATTCACAAATTGTTTCAGACTATGTTCGCTACTTTCTCCATCAACACACGTAAGTTGTTTAATCTGTATAGTGTCATCTCATATACATGGTTTTAAAAGGCGCTTAAGAGGCGGGTTTTGAGGCGCGCCTCAAGGCGAGGCGTACAGAGAAGGTTTTGAGGCTTAGGTTTTTTTTGCAGGACAAGAGGCTGATGCCTCAAAATTCAAGGCATATGCCCTGAGGCGCGCCTTGAGGTGTTTTTTCTGATGCTTCATCTTTTTAAAGTGCTTGTAGCTTAAAAACGGCAGTGTTTTTATTGAATAAAAGACTCATACATTCAACACGTGTCTACACTAAACCCAAACAAGTCTTGTTTCACTTATACCCTAACACATACTCCCTATTAATCATTCTACATGTCTTTAAAACTTAGTCATACTTCTGCACAAAGAAGCAGATGGGTAACCAAGGAAAAAAATAAGAAAAATAAACCTGTAATGAGGTAAGTGATGATGAATAAGAGAATGAACTTAGATTTTGATAGTGATGATAAAATGTATGACGGTGAGAAGGCTATAAGATATAATTCTTCCGAAGACCCTCCAGTCATCATGATTGAGCTTCGAGAGTTTCTAATTGTCATCTATGTGATATGTCTGTTATGTGTTTGAATTTTCATTTTGAGTTATCGTATTTGATGATGTGATCATATATTCATTTGTGTTTTACTTTAATTATGTACATCTATAGTTGGTTATTACTAGTTTAACTATTTTAAGTTTTACTTGGTAAATTTTGAGGCTTACGCCTCAAGGCTTATGCCTTGCCTCTCTCGAACAAACCGCCTCGATACCCAAACAAGCCTTTTAAAACCTTCCTCATATATTCTGTCACATAAACCTCTCCCCCCCCCCCCTCTCTCTCTCTCTCTTCTATATTTCTTTTAAGCACTATATATTATTCTTTTTGGCTACCCAAAAGATTTACTTTTCCCCATCTGGCACTCATGATGTGCTCTTGGCCTCCTAATGCAGTTTACTTCTCCTTAGCTCTAATTGAAAAATTTCAGTTCCTTACTACTTTATTGTATTTAGGCTTGACTCTTCGCTCCTAATAATATACTTCATAGCAAATTCAATTCAGAATTTAATAGTTTGAGTTTTCTTGTGATCCAGGATACAACTTGAACAGCCTGCAACTGTCAAAGTTGCTGCAAACCTTGTTAGATTACTAGCCTACAATAACAAGGTTTGGATTTACAAATTTGTGTTTTCTTGATATATGACAATCTCTGGTCCTACCCCACCTGGTGGAGGAATGTGTGTTTTTGCCTTCATAAAGTCTTTAAAAGTAGCCTTGTTCAAGAGCTGAGTAGACTAGATGCCTTTAACCAATACTTTATTTGTGAACACTCATCTTGGTTAAATTATTTTATTTTTATAGAAACACGGTAACACCAGATGCAAATTATGTATTTTAAGGTGGGGGAACATGTGTGTTTTTGCCTTCATGAAGTCTATAAAAGTAGCCTTGGTCAAGAGCTGAGTAGCTAGGTGCCTTTAACCAATACTTTATTTGTGAACACTTATCTTGGTTAAATTATTTTATTTTTATAGAAACACGGTAACACCAGATGCACATTATGTATTTTAAGGGCAGGGTGCTAGGCGCTCGTCTGTTAAATGATGGGCGCCTAGCGTTTTTGCAGCCACAACTGACGCACACGAGAGAGAAAATTTCCCATTATCACTTTCTGCACTTCAGTCGATATCCTGACAAAAGCTGAGTCGATTCTGTTTCTTTGATTGTTACATATGGAGTTTATTTTTCATGACAAATCATTAGCCTATGCATGGTCTACTATAAAGTATGGATATGTATAGAATTTAGCATTATTATCTCAGGCGTGGTCCCACGAGATATTGATGCTAGAGTCTACTCTCCCTCTAGGATGAATCTTTCTTTTCTGTCATAGATCTGTCCCCCAGAATTTTTCCATTGAGAAGATAACACATGAACCTTGAGATTACTTTCTGCTTTTCAATGCATTTATAGATTGTTAGCTTTTCACTTGGTAATATCCTCACATGCTGGTCTGTGGGGTTATTTCATCTTACATGTTTTTTGGGCTCTATTTAATGACTGAATTATCTAGAATATGCTACAAACTGGGCTTATTGTTGGTGGGTGGGACAAACATGAAGGTGGAAAAATATATGGGATACCTCTTGGAGGCACAGTATTGGACCTGCCATTTACCATTGGAGGTTAGTTTCCTATCTGGCACTACCCATTGGCACTCATGGTTATTTGTGTGTTATTTTATTTTGATTGTATTAGTAATAAATGGACGAGGAAAAATTGATAATGCATTTGGGTTACACACAGGATCTGGCTCTTCCTATTTGTATGGCTTCTTTGATCAAGCTTGGAGAGAAGGAATGACTAGGGAAGAGGCTGAGGTTTGTTCTTTCTTGCAATCAACATCTATACAACTGTTTTAATCTTTAAGGCATGTGTGGCTGAATACTGAGCTTCATCTTTCTTAAATGCAAATTAGTATTGTTGTAGTTGGACTTTTATATATAATTATATAGTACTCCATAAGTTCATGAGGTCTCGAAATTCTTTACTTTCCTATTATATCTTTCCTTACGCAGCATGTTATAGATCTTTCTTGTTATCAATTTTTAAATTGAATACCAATTCACTTCACTATATCTACAAACAAGAATTATATCATATTTTGATGGTGCTATAATGATTATGGTACAAGGCTTTGTTGTCTTCAGACTGTTTTGTATTGTTCATGAAGATGCTTTTTGTTTTATTCATCATACAGAAGTTGGTCGTCAAAGCTGTGTCTCTTGCCATTGCCCGGGATGGTGCTAGTGGTGGTGTTGTTCGGACTGTGACTGTGAGTCCTTTACTGAACTTTGTGATGATTTATCATTTATAACAAATCCTTTTGTGTTATTTTCATTGCATATCTGAAAGAGCGCTTATATGCTATATGCTTAAACATGACAACATTGCATTTCTGAAAGTGCGCTTATATACAGTATGCCTGCATGCTTAAACATGACCACATCGCATTTCTGAAAAGTGCTTATATGCAGGTTATGCTTAAACACGGTTATCCCGTAATTATAGAAAGAGTCCCAAAATTATCTTTATACTTTCCTTTTTGAGTTGTCCCAAAACTTTGTCACTATTTCCTTGGGAAAGATTTGTTCTGTTGGTATAGTTTCTCCTTTCTAAATGGACCACAACCACTTGATTTCATTTTGAAAGCAAGATGGAAGTTTAGGAATGGAATGTTACTTATTTTTCAAGCAAATGTTAGGGTGGGCTGGTACAAATAATATTTTTGGATAACTTTTTTCAGATAAACTTTTACCCATAAAATACAATCATTTCTCAAATTTGAGGTGGGCTGGGCCCGTTTAGGCACCCCTTACCTCACCACTGCCTGCCCGTATTTTCGGTCGGTTTTGGTCTCTCTGTATCTTTTCTGTTCCTCTTAACCACTTTGGCTCTCTTTGATCTATTATTTTATTTATTATTATTGATATTAATGTTAAAATTATTATTATTACTGCTACCATAAATGCGTACACTTATTATGCAGATAAATGCAGAAGGTGTTGAAAGGAAATTTTACCCGGGTGACACACTTCCACTATGGCACGAAGAATTTGAGGCACATAATTCACTGTTGGATATTTTGCCCGCAGCCAGTCCCGAGCCAATGGTTAGTTGAATCAGGGGTAGGCTCCATGTAATAGACGCTTTGAATATGAATGAGTAGCACTTGAACACTTGAACTGCTGGTCTTTTGTAATCGCCCTTTCCTGCGTGATATAATGTTCATTACAGTTATTCTAATTTTAGTAGAATGCAACACTTGTGTTTTTTTTATAAATGAAGTTTGCTATAATATTTCAAGACATTTAAGATATTGTGAGCGTTTTTAGTTTTTTTACTCCCTCCGTCCGTTGAAGGTTCTCATAGCAAAATGACACAGTTATTTAGACAATAATTAAATAAAGTACTTCAAGTATATTTTGAGAAATGATTTTAATAGGTATATATTATAATGTAGTTAGTATTGATAAATGTGATGTTATAAATGTATTATTTTTAATATTTAATGATTAATTTGTCATTTAAGATTGTTAATTGTTTCCTAAAATGGAAATGAGAACCTTCCAACGGGACGTCCAAACAAGGAAAGTGGGAACCTTCTAATGGGACGGAGGGAGTATTTACTTTGAATGTTAACATTGGGTTAAATTCTCTAAGTAGGAATGAAATAAACATTCCCCTCCCCCTAAATAAGACTGATGATTTATGAGTAAAAATTGGAATTGATAATTATATTTCTTACTTCTTTCCTAAACAATGCACCGATATATAAAGTAATAAAGGGATATAGAAGGTTTCTCTAGTTGAAAATAAGATTGTCGTACTTTTATTTTCTAAGTATAGTAATTACCGACATATTTTGACAATATCATATTTTAATACTATGTAGTATTATTTTCCAAACTTGATAGTAATTATTACATTGTTCGATGATTTTGTTGGATTTGGATTGAATGTTATTGTGATTAAATATACTCTTTGGAATTGTATTGTCATCGTGAATTTGACAAAGAGAAGTCAGTCGGGTACAGGAAAGAGTTACACAAGGCGAGAGATCAGGAAGGGTTCCATCTAAGGGTGGACCTAGGTTGGTTCGGTCCTGATTCCGACTTGAGACCGTCGGTCCAAAAAAAATGGTTGGGCTGTACTTGGGCTTGTGTTCGAATCACCTTTTTCTGGGTCTACTCTGGTTTCGGGTACCTAGCAGGTCCGGTCCTGGACTCGGTCCCTGTTATGTTTTTTGTTTTGTTTTTTAGTCACAGAGAATCTTAAAAAATGGTTGGACCCCCATTTTTCCCGCCCAAAATAATACTTGAAATAATAATATATCGATAACAATCTTGATTTATTCCTTAAAAATAGATAGAGTTTTGCAGCGGAAATAACAGTAATGGAAAAAGGGTGTGTTACCACCACACCTAGCCCTCAACTTGACTGGATGTTAAGGTTATCCACCATGAGTTCAACCGAATTAAAAACTTGAATTCAAAATCTACTAACATTATTTAATCTAAGTGAAGACTACACTAAATTCTTCTAAAGCGCTCTCCAGGTTCATCAAACATCATGAGCTTTGTATTCATCATTACCTGCACAAATAAAGTGCAGAAAATGAAACAAAGAAACGAAACAAAAATTAGCTTTAGAGCTAAGTAAGTACTACCCAACCCCGTAAAATAATCAGGTTTGGCGAAAATAATTTTTCATATAATACTATATAAAAATACTCACACCACCGAAATTCTTTTCTAATAAAAAATATCATTTATCAACTTTATAATCTCAAATACCCATATAATTAAAAATAATATTTATAAGCTCCCAACAATTAATTAGTATCTCAAAAGAAGTATCACTTTTCAAAAATAACTTTTGTAGCTAAAAATATCACCATTCTGAAATCAATGTCACTTTCAGATTCTTTTAAGATGGACGAAACTCAAGATTCCTCGAGCCCAATGAATCGTTGTTGTGTACGATTCATCCCGGAATTCCGGCTCCCACCGACCACCAATTGGAAACTGAACTTCACCCTTAAGTGTGCACACCCCCTAAAAGGGATTCCAAGCCCTCCGAGTAGTAAGAAGTCCAAGTAGTTCGGACAACGTCCCCCTACCTCACAATGGGTTAGAAACCCGGGTAATTAGAAACTACTATCGCGGCCACCAAAGAACTTTTAAAGTTCTCAAAAGAAATACCGGGAATCTTCCGCCACCAATATTTACCGGGATTTCTCCCGCCACCAATAATCAACCTAAACTAAATCCGCGGTATATAGCTCTAACCACCCTCCACATTTATCCGGATGTGGAAAAACCGACACCACGGATTTCTCCCGGGTGCTCATCTCTTATAAAATCCTTAATTTTATCTTGAATCAAGATATACTTCCAAAATATTTCTCATTCTCTCTAAATAGTCTCAAAGGTATTTAAAAATATTTAATACCCCAAAAAGTACTTTTAAATTGTATTCCTCAAAATCACATACACACAATTCAAAATTCACACTTAATCACATAATAATGCATAATAAGCATATAATACGAGGAACAATTTTGGATTGGCAGAGAAACTTACCTTAAGTCCTGATGCCCCTAATTCTCTTCCTCAATTCCGGTCTCTAAATATTCACCTTTTAATTAAGATGATATAATTAGTCACTTATTCTATTTTTAATAGTTTATCCAATTTTTCCCCTTTTTATTATTATTCGAATTTATTAATTTAGTTAATTAATTATTCGAGTTAACCACTTTTTATTAATCAAATTACCTTATTAATTCAGCCATTAATTACAATATTTGATTTCTACTATTAAATGAAATATCCGAATATAATTAACTTCAACATTTAAAATTTACAAATCACCATTAATTTTCTCTATCCAAACTATATTTTAATATTACTAAAACATATCCGAATTATATTAAACTATTTAAATCTCAAAATTAATTCATATTAATCGATATTATTAGTAAATCCGAATTTAAATTTACTAATCATCGTCAACTTAATCTGATTTTATTAATTATCCAAACACTTTATATTTCGGAGTCCGTAATTACGTTAACTAACAATTAACAAAGTTATCCAAGTGATTATAATCAATCAACCAAGCCAATTTCATCATTATGATTTCTCATCTCAAATTTATCAATAATGCAGATTATTATTAATATTATTATCAATATTACTCTTATTAATATTAATATTAATATTAATATTATTATTAGTCCAGCCCGGCCCAAAGGAAAAAATCAAAATTAAGTCAGCCCAACAACTAAATTATACGGATCCAAGAAGCATACAGGTACCGTCGACGGCGTCCTCTTCGATCTGCGACCATCACGAAGGCGATGATCAACGTTACATTGCGGCTTCCTTCATCCTGGGAACGCTCTCGCGACGTCAACTTCACATCAGCCTGGGGCAGATGGTCCGGCAACTCAGCTCTAGGAAAATCTCCTGGCAGCTCCTCTGCTCCGGCGAAGAAACAGTCCGGCGGTGATTCCGCTTCTCCTCCGGTGACGAACAGCAGGCTCCATCCTCAGATATGACAGCAACGATGGCCTCCTTCGTTTCATGGGTACGACGGTGGGGTCCTTCTTCTCCAGCGATTCCCGTACCCACTAGCCTCCTCCGACGTAAAACCAGTCCGGCAACTATGCGGCGGCGATGCTTTTCCTCTCCTCCGCTCGTGAAGATTCAGGCATTGGATCTTTTGGGATTTTGTTTGATACTTCCAGCGTCGGTTGAAGCTTTATATACATATATACGAAACTTGGCCATCCTTTGCACGCAGGTCGATGGTTCATGCGACGCTGGTTGGTTTTCCGCAGGTAAGTTTAGACGATGTATATATGCTCAGTCCAGGCTCTCCGTTACGTACGTTGGTTAATTAAGGTCCGATTTTCGCTGGTTTAATTCGATCAGTTCTACTCCTATGTAGTGTTGGGTTTAACTATGGACTCTTAACTTTGAGTGCAACTACGGCCAGATACAAAGTCCTAGTTGCAATTCTTGTATGCAACGTAATATAGTAGTCGTGTTTTCATAATATTACTCCTTCCGTTTGTATCCCACGTATAGTACTATAGTACATAACTTAAGTTTGACTTCTAACTTTTTAGCTTGTAATCTATTATTGGTATTAAATATTAAAAGTATAATAATAGCATTTAGGAAAAATCAAGTTGTATTTGTAAATCTCATACACAATTTAAAATAGTTAAAATAACTTTTATAATTTATGTCATGCGTATGACATCACTTTCATAATTATTATAAAACTGGACTCCTATTATCGGACCATTTTTATCAGACTAAAACATGTCACAAATGTTAATAAAAAATTGTATGACTCACTTAATAATTAAAATGTCATTTTCGTAACATTTTATCTGACTAATAAAAAATTATTTTAATTTTTATTTAAATTTTTGGAGTGTCACAACCTGGTTTGGTCCTCAAAATTGTGAACCGGGACAATCGGGTACCTGATCCGGTACCCGGTCCTACACCCGGGATCGGGTTTTTGGACCCGGTGCGATTAGGCATGGACCGGGCTCGGGCCGGTTCAAGCCGGGCTTTTTTTCCCAAGATGTTGGGCCCGGAACCGTGCGATCCCTTACAATAGCGGGTCCAGTCCGGGACCGTCGATCAAGTCCACATCTAGTTCCATCACGGGTGTCTAAGGGGCAATTTGTTCCCTATCAAATCTAGTTTTCGGTGGCAGGTTGTTGTCATGACTTAATTGTGATTTTTCGGTTACAGTGCAACACCTTAACCAATGTGCCTAGATTCTGTGAATAATTGGAACAGGTTACCCCGAATAGGGTCCTGATAGGCCTATATATAATAAAGAGGTTTCCAAAATACAATAGAATTTCTATTTTAATACGAAGTATAAACTATTACATCCCCTCAAACTGTGTGGGAGATATAACGCGCAAGTTGTCTTTTAAAAAAAGAAATTGTTGACTAGACAAGCTCTTAGTAAAAATATCAAAGAGCTGAAGATGAGTAGGAACATATCGAACGACTAAATCTCCATGAGCAACTCTTTCGCGAACAAAATGATAATCGATCTGAATGTGTTTGCTCCGAGCATGCTGAACAAGATTAGCGGTCAGATAAGAGGTAGAAATATTATCACAAAGTAGCTGAACAGGCTCACGAATAGGAAACCCAAGCTCAAAAAGGACCGACCGAACGTGTATGGTATCCTGGGCAGTGTATGCAATGGCACGATACTCTGCTTCAGTAGAAGATTTGGACAAAGTAGGCT